TCAATGTTTCCCATAAAACCCACCAAAGTGGCACCTTCCAGTTTGGTGTGGAGATGTGGATGTTATTTATTGGTGCTTAAACCAAAGGGGTAGAGGTGCATTTCCTATTCAACAAATGTACAATTATTAACAAAGAAAACTGCAGCATTTAAGAAAAAAGAATTTCCAATGCAGGGGTTGACCAAAATTTAGAAAAGTGCTACAAATAGCGAATATAAGAGTTACTGATGTAAAAGTGGTTTGTAAAGATGTAAAGGTGTTTTTAGACAGCTCATTTTTTTTGTTGGCTCTAGCCAACACTTTCATAAGAGGGAAAGTTTAGCTCGAGCGTTTTTCTGCAGCTGTACTATAATATAATATAATTTGCCCACAAAAAGATATATTAATATTGTGTTATATATTTCCATAAGACAACAGTGAAGATATGACAGTCTGATAAAAATTTAGTCAGTGGACAGCTTGTATAACAGTGTAAATTTAAATAACTCAACACACAGCCATTAATGTCTAAACATCAAGCAACAAAACTGAGTACACCCCTAAGTGAAATTCTTTTTAACCAATTTTACTAATAAACTTAACTTGACTGCAATGTTTGATCTCCCCATGCATGTGTGGGTTCTCTCTGGATACTCTGGCTTCCTCCCACAGTCCACAAACATGACAGTTAGGTTAATTGGTCTCTCTAAATTGCCCTTAGGTGTGAATGAGTGTGTGCATGGTTGTTTGTACTGTGTGTTTCTGTGTTGCTCTGCGGTGGACTTGCGACCAGTCCACAGTGTACCCTGCCTCTTGCCCATAGACTGCTGCAGATAGGCACCAGCTCCCCTGCGACCCTGTATTCAAGAAGCCTGTATAGAATGGAGGGATGGGTCAGGGGTCCAGGTTGCTGTAATCTGAAGCTTCACCACTAGATGTCTACTAATCCAACAAATTGCTCATTTTCTGATTGTGAACAACAGAACCCTACCAACAACAAAGAGTGATTGCATGTACAATGAAAAACTTAAGTTCTAGATGATTTTCTTGTCCCATTTACTGTTTACAATGACAATGACCTTCTTTCATTCCTAGTATTCTTACCTGTCTGAGATTAACTGATGCAAGAGAAAAAAATGAAATGTCCAATATTCTTTTAGAGTTTTGGTATTACAATATTTAAACACTGAATAAAAAATTCCTTAAAATAAATCAGCTACTAAAATAGAGTTTCCTAATTAGATTTTTGTGGTCAATTTTCAGTCTCCAGTTTTTGTTAATCTTTGACCTGCTAATACAGATTTTAGCTGATTCCAAGTATAATAATAATTCTTTAATATAAGATATAAGAACAGCAATCTAAAAAGCCTTCCTTAGTAGTTTTTATTGACCTATATTAGTCGCTGCTGTAAAACAGGGTTTTAATAATATTTTAGAATAAAGAAAATGATTATAAAGTTGCCAGTTTAAACTGTTTATTCATGATTAATGCGGTTAGCACCACTAAAACATCAATCTCTGTTTTTATATCCTCAGGAATACAGGAATACTTACCTTAACTCTGAGATTTCTAAAGGGCTGTCAACATTTCCAAATTCAGCCTGTTCTATGGCAGACAGAGGTTAAGGCCTCAAAGGAAAAAACAATGCAACTTTACTGTTCAGCGTTTCTGTTATCTTTCTCCTCCACAGCCTAACTGAACTCTGGATGCCTCAACATAAGAAAAAAACAATTTCCTTTTAAACACTTCTTACATCTCTGTGCTTCCTCAAAAAAAACTAGCTTTTAGTCTTCTTCACTCAGTTACCGCATCCACACAGAAGAGTGTTGTTAGTGGACCAAGTAGCACATAATATGGTACATTCACTGACTAGAAATATATAATTTTTTTTTTTTTCTCAGTATGTCACTGGTTAGGATAAAGAACAAAATCAGATGATTCCAATCATCAGCTGAATTCTCTATAAAATAGTATAAGCAGAGAATGAACAAATATGCATACTTGTTACGGTCCACAGGTTAAAGTGGCTCATAGGACACATAACATATGAAGTCCAGACCAGTAACAGCAGTTTAACTGAGGTTTAATGAAAACTATGTTCACAAACAATCCAAGAGGAGACCCGGCCACAGTATACAAAAGAATGAAAAAGCCTCAGACCAGCAAGTCAGTTGATTGTCTGCTCCGGACATCTACCCAGCCTATCCTAACACTAACAACCAAAACCTAAAAGACTATCACTAACTTCAATCTCAACCAAAGATAGGACAACAAAAAATGGGTTTAAAGACTGCTTGACACGTGTGACAGGCTGGCAGTTATCAGAAGGAGGAGGAGGGGCCTAGATCACTATGTGTGATCTATCTATCACTATGTGTGAACCAGACCTTATCACCCTAGATCTATAAGACTGAGCTTAAATACATACATGATGGATAGAGAAAAACGAGAAAGAAATGAGAATAAAAGGGACAGAAACAGATGAAAGATGTGATAAAGAGACAGAAAGATGGAGAAATAAGAAAAATGTAGAGACAGTTAAAGATAAAAAAGATAGATATAGACATAATATATAAATACAGTAGGTAGAAGATAAATAAACATTTCAGAGTTTTGTTTTCCGTAAGAATGTTCTGTCGAATCTGTAGACAGTTTAAACAGGCTGCAGTCAGAGGAAACCATGGGTCCAGCCATTTATATATTCTTCTGAGTGTGTTGGCCTGGTTAAGCACAAGATTTTTGTCAAGGCTGAAGAGACAATTTTCGTCAGCCTCAGATCTACGGCTACAACTCCTGCATTCAGCAGCGTTAGCAGGCCTGCATTCGTCAGCGACTCGTCATCTGCAGCCAGCAACATGGCTGGATTTTACTTTGTGCATTACACTGCGTAGTCAGTTAAGAGTTGAAAAAAAGTTTGAAACAACTGAGATGTTACAATACAAACAGCTGGATGTTGTTTTGATATATTCATTAAAGTTTATATATTGAGAAATAAATGTGTTAAATCGAACATTTTTGAGAGTTTATTAAACGAATTAACATTTATTACCACATAAACACACACACAAAAGTACTGAAAACTGGTACCGTTGAGTACCAGTATCGATTCCCAGGTACCGAGAATCGGTACCGTATTGGTTCAAATGTGAAAGGTACCCATCCCTAGCCCCAAAGATCCAAGCAAAAACCATCTACAATTTTTGCCTTTTATTTTATTATTTCTAATTAGGAAGAAACAGACAAGGACGGATTTTATTCAGCAGCAATTGTTCATCCACAAGGCCAGTTGATGATTGACAGGATGCTATTAAGTGGGAAGCAAGAGATGAGAATGTGTGAATTAAGGTGTCAGAGGAGCTGGAACATTAGTTCCAACCAAACTAACAAAGGCATCACGAACAACATTGCAACCTAAGAAAATGCAGCTGGCGTGTCTGTCTGTCCTGCTGTGCAGTTAAATAGGCGACGTTTATCACCAACAGATGTGAAACCATTTGGTGTCACCTGCAGCTTGAAGTTAATGCCAGGTGACTCAGCCTGCATAATATAACATTTAATTTATGAGGTCTGCATTTGAGGGATCACTTAGCATTTAGTTCTTTGCAAATATTTTGCAAATATTTTATACCCTTATTGGGGACCCACAGAGCACAATTATTTACTACACTTCTTTTTGGCTGCCCTTTAGCCACTATCAGAGAATCAGAGAATGACTTTGTCTGTTCAGTTATGCACTGTACTTGAACTGGAGCTTCTGCCTCTCAAAATTTCTTCTGACCACACTGGTGGAGCTCAGCCTTGATGAAGCTGACAAAATATGACATTCACAGTTCGTGTTTAAGGAAAAACAATTTCTCCCTGGTGCCAATTGTCATTGTGCCCTTGGCTATTTCTGTGTGCCTGACGTAATGTCATCTACGTTTGGCAAGTTAGGTTTTCTGCATGCCATTAAAAATGCTCCACCAAGCAGCTAACCAGATTAAAGGAGTCAGTTGAAAAATATATATCATTCAGTCTGACACCGCTCATATCCATATCATATCCTTTCCATTTGATTATCCGTGAGGAGTCCATTTTGGATATTTGAATGTAACCATAGGAGTGTACAGCAATATTACATTCACAAAAATGTCACCACAGTTTTAAGAAGAATGACACCTAAACTAGATTAATGTCAAAAATGATGCTTTTTTAAAGTAAAGCGGTTCACTAGATGTTATGGTGGTTAAACATTAAGAAAGATGAGATTTAATAATTTTTTGAAGCCTGGAATGGAATAGTGAAAAACTTTAAGTGCAAAACCTAAATTTCCATCCCCCTAGATACTCTATGTCTGGACAGCAGCAGTAATCAAGTATCTGGATAAAATATAGAGGCCTGGTTTTTTGGGAAAGTCACAGCTTTTTATTTATTTATTTTTGCCCCTATTGAGCTGGCAGGGGCTTGCTTTGCTGTCCTCCTTCTTTGTCCTAAATAGGTTATAATTATTTTACAAATTGCCATGGTGGAGAGAGAACAGCACTGGCTTTTCATTAGTTTCTAAGATGAGGTCTAAATTTAAGGGGGGGCGGGGGTTGGCATCTTGTATAACTAATCTATTGTACACAAGATCACAAATGCCTTTTTATAGGTCATACGTGGGCTGGAAATGTCTCCATGATTAAAGAGTTTCAAACACTCTAGAAGTAGCAGGTTTAGGAACAATCCAACTTGGGTATTTTTCTACCCCAGTACCCAATTATTAAGGTCTTATGTTGAGGCTACCAAATAGTGGTAGGAAAAGAAAACCATTCACCAGTTACCTATATTACTAAACAATATAAAATATAATTAACAATATCTGGGTCAAAATAAATGTTTTTATTGTTACTAATATTATTAGTTTAATCTTGGAATAAATAATTATCAGTTAAAACACTAAAGATAACAACCTCATAATGTCTTTAAAGATTTTTATAGACATAGAAATGATTGAATTTGGAATGTAAAATTCATACTCATGCTTGTATAAAATATGGGCTGCATGGTGGTGCAGTTGGTAGCACTGTTGCCTACCAGCTGTAGGCAACAGTGGGGCCGGGGGTCTTGCCTACCAAGATCCCTGGCCCGGGTTTGACTCCCGGCCGGGGGTCTTTCTGCATAGAGTTTGCATGTTTTCCCTGTGATTGCGTTCTCACTGGGTACTCCGGCAGTAATATTCCACAGTCCAAAGACGTGCCTGTTAGGTTAATTTGTCTCTCTAAGCTCTAAACCTTAGGTGTGTGAATGAGTGTTGTTTGTGTGTTGCCCTGCGATGGACTGGCGACCTGTCCAGGGGGTACCCCTCCTCCTCCCCATAGACTGCTGGAGATTGGCACCAGCTCCCCCGCAACCAGCTATGGAAGAAGTTGTATAGAAAATGCCTGTCTGTCTTGATTTTCTGAACAATTCTTTGGTCAAATTCAGTGTTGCCAGCCTGGCAACTTTGTCGCTATATTTAGAGTATTCAGACTATTCAAGCAGCTCATCAAAAAAGCAATAAATCTTATGAGTTTGCCTTAGGAGAATTATGTAAAAGGATCTTCCATTTTCACTTTTCTCAACTAGCGGCGGTGGCTGCCGTAGGCCTTTCACCCGTCCCAAAGCACTCTCAGACGGTCTAGTCCTCATCAAGCAGTGCCTCTCCCAACTGCAGTCAGAGCAGGAGATGATTCCCTAAAATAAATCACTGCACACAGAATAAATTTGGGTCGCACAGTTTTTATCCCTTAAATTACACATTACACTTATCCCTCTCTATTGAGCTGTTGTACAAAAAAATGCTGTAGATGTCGTGATTAAAAATTTTAACATTAACAGTAAACAAACTGGTTCTTTTGTGTGAACTAAAGTCATTAACACAACCCTCTGACAATAACATTTTTATATTGCACTATTTTACTATCCTACCATTTTTTATTTCTCCTGTGGAAGAGGTTCACAGGTTGTTGTATAGTTCAAAATGGTAGACTGATAGAATGAGGCTCCTTCGAGTCTCTTCTATAAACAATTAAACTGCCTCATGATGTTTGGTTAAAACTACCCAATTTTTTGCCCCCAATCGTAAACTATTCAGATCAAAAAAGCAGCATGCTCAGTTTTTCTATCTATTTGTCTCTTTGTTTTTCATTTATATCATGTGGCTGATTGTATTTAGACCAAAGGACAAAGCAGCTTTGTCTAAACAGGATTAATTCATTAAAATAATTATTTTAAGATGCAGCTTCATGTTTTGCATTATTCTTTACTCTCACTCAGGGTGTAAGGCAAACAAACATATGGAGTCCTTTGACAGGTTGTCATCTTTATCTGCCTGCAGAAGCTGTTTGAGTCCATCCATCTACTGTTTCCATGGCTCCCGTTGTCATCTCTGCTTCCTACAGGCCTAACTGGCACCTAGACTTATAAGATACTCTTTTTAACTGCGCTCCGTTTTGTGACCATCTTCTCTCCATGAGGACTTGCTGGTAAACCGTAAAAGGGAGCCAGCTTCAGATTGAGGCCTTTAATGGATCAAAGTTTCTCCTGATTTATATGTTTCTATTTATTACACACATATTACATTCTTTCACCTCTATATTCTCATGCCTTTTTATGAATAGTAATAAAATAACCCCTGGTTTACAGTCTTATTACACAGATATATTTCCATTCCAACTTTTATAGATATTAAATTTCTATTACTTTAAGTTAAATCATTTATACAACCAGATTTGTATCATTGTAAAATCTTTAGACAATTGCAAATTGAAGTAAACAGTTCAATTTAGAACAATCTCTTTGAACTTTTTGTTTCATAATATTTGGTGTATTCTTCTGAAGGAAAAATAACTTTTTATATTGACAAATCAGGGCCACAAATCGCTGTCAGAGCTGGTACAGTTTGCCTGGCATTGCTGTCAAATCACGGGTTTATATGGGAGCAGACTCTCTGGAAAGATTGGACCGTTGTGTAGGAGCAATGTTTGCACCATATGGGGCTCTTATTGCACCGTATGGTCACGTATTACTGTACTTATCACTTAAAATAACTCACAAGGCTTCCCCTACTTGCTCCTACACACATAATGATCTCAGAAGATGACTATGAGAAAGGGTAACACTGAGGATGTAGACACCTGCACAAACATACAGAGAGGCACAGAGTAATGACTACTCTGGCACGGCACACCTAGTTTTATCATTGGGCTAAATAATAAGGAATGCTAATAGCTATGCCCGATGATACCCTTGTGGGTAGCCTGAAATGCGCACTACATTACCACAATATTATTATTATTATGTTTACACATCATCTGTTGACTGACAGCAATAGAAGATAGAAGCTTTGAACACGTTGAACACATGCAGTGTTCATCACAGCCTTGGTTAAAGAGATCGAAAAAAAGATAATGTGTTTGATTGACTGGTGGTATGAGTTCACCTGAAGATCAGGACCCGTATTCAGAAAGATTTTCAGAGTCCGCTTGCTAGGTGTGACGCTGTCTTCTGAGAGCTGTGATTGGTTGTTAAAATAAACAGCAAAATAAAAAAAAAGTGCTCTTAGTAATGAAGAGAAATGAACCGATGATAGAATTTAGACTGAATTTAGAAATGTGTAAATCATGGTAATAAAACTTTAATTAATTGTCACACGGCTTCCTCATTTTTTTTAAAGTAGCTTATTTACATGCTCGTCATTATTTTGATTTACTTATTGTTATGTTTACTTTATATGCTGGTCATTTTCATACTGCATCTAAGTCATATTAATTAATTTAATATCAAAATTCAGCATTTTATTATGTTCTGTAATAAGGTTTAGTTTGGTAAAACAAGCAAAGCAAAACAGAGAAAAGAAGGTGAAGAAAATCGAACTGGACAGAGGAGCAGAGCCTGAAGAGAGGAGTGTTGAAAAGTAGATTTGGTCCTGGGATCATGGTGCAAATAAATCCAGAGCAGATCAATGCGTCATTCCCTCTGCACCAGCCTGGAATGCGAGCAGCTCTGGTACCTGCTGAAATCAGAAGCTAGAGATTAGATAGCAGCACACCGGAGAAAATATCTCTGTTAATTTTTTCAATTTTTATTCATGGTTTTTTATATTTGTTTATTCTTCCTAATATTGCCTTACTAGAGGTGCACCTTTACTCTGTCCTGCCACTGCAAACTATTTAATTCCGCCCAAGGGGGATGATAAAGTTTATGTTATCTCTATATTAATAATTGTATGATTGTTATAAAGGTTTATATACTCATTTACTTGACTATTAAGGGGTTGGATCCCTGTGCGGTCGAGCCGGTAGTGTTTTATTAATTTACTGTTATATATATCTCTCCTTTCTCTATGTCTTTCCACCATCTCCTCTGCTTAAGACACTCTTAAGCTCACTAAACGTCCTCCTCACTACTCTTAACATTTTCTCCATTTAGGAGCTCTCTTAAGGCTTAAGATGCTTCGTGAATAACTTTGTAACTTTCTAAGAAAAATCTTATAATTCGATAAATTCCAAGATTTTTCTTAGAATGACGTCACTAGGTGCAACTTTTAGTCTTAGGATTCTTTATGAATACGGACCCTGAGCATTTTAGCCAAATTTGACATTCTTTTGTAAATGCAACAATCTGAAGGATGTGTTGAACCGATTGATAAGAACTAAAGGAACGGTAGGATGTCACCTTCATAGAAATGAGCCATTAAGACCCTCCCAAGAAAAGGAAGCAATGCATAAAAGTGGCCTTTCTTATAATAAATGAATATTAATATTTTATCACCAAATTATGTTTTTCCTGTTGATGGAAATATTAAAATGCTGTCCATTCTTTAGACACATTAAAACCCAAAATGTGTGACATAATATTATATAATTCATGGTGGTACTGTTGCTTCACAGCTAGTGTGTTTCAAATCTCAATGGGGGAGCTTTCTGTTAAGAGTGTCTTTGCTGCTGGAATAGGCTCCAGTAAGTACTCTAGCATTGCCCTCAAAGATGCTCTCTGGCTTTATAAATTTTGTAGAGTACATTGTGAGGCAGAAACGATCAAAAATGGTTTCTTCTTGAGTTTGCAGATACTAACACTAATATTTTTTTAATAATCATCATCATCGGTCATTGCACATGTACATTACAATGAAATTTGTCCTCTGCATTTAACCCATCCCTTACAGGGAGCAGTGGGCTGCCATTGTGCGGCGCCCGGGGAGCATTCTGGGGTTAAGGGTCTTGCTCAGGGACCCAGAGTGGCAATCTGTGGGATATGAACCTGGCCCCCTCCTGTTCTAACCACTAGGCCACCACTCACCATATTAACAACATACCCAGTGCATCTCAGTGTCTCAGACCTGAAAGCACTTTGTAGAAGTGTAAGATATATTTGTGATCATTAAGCATCTGTTTAGAAATGATTATGTCATGTTGTGTGGTTCCGGAGCAGGACCCAAGTGCAGACAGGAGCGTTGGATGAGCATAATAAAGTTTATTTAACAAGGACAAATGCAGGTGTGTCAATCAAGAGCAAAAACAGGACATGGAACATGGCAGAGTAACAAGTAGAACAACAGAGAGAACTGGAGATAAGGGAATGAAACAGGACATCCAGCAGAGAACAATGACCAACAGAGGACTGTGTGGAGTATAACATTGAATGACGGTGTGTTAATCAGAGAATAATGTGGTGCAGCTGGCAGGAGATAAGGTGGGGAGCAGAGGGAGAGAGAATAATAGACATGAATAGAGCTGAACTTATCAGTTTTTGTGGCTGTTTAAAGGTGGCCAGAGCTGAGAGACCAAAGCTGGTGATTTTTTTCTCTCCAAATTAGACTTAATCCAGGTATTTAGATCTTTGAATGTTGTGCTGTGTTTGAGTTTGAGAGAAAGAGGGAAATGAGATGTTGATATACCTTGAGAGAGAAATGTCATGAGACAAAGAGTTAAGAGAAAGATGTTGACCTCTGCACAGCTAATGATACACGTTATGTTTTGTTTGTTTTCTTGATGAATGAATCATTGAAATTTATTTTTGTTATTACTAATGGGTTAATTATTGATTTTATAAGGGAACTTTTTCCAATATAACCATTGAGTTTCAACTGACGTGGTCTGATTTAGAAGTGGCCTGAAGCAGAAAGTTATCTGCAGATTTGTTGTTTCAAGAATTTAAGTAAAAATAAATCTCTCATTTAAACCAAAAAAAATTTACTAAACTCTGCATGCAAACCCAAGAGATAGTGAGAAAAGTTAAACTTATAAGGGTGGGTGAGCTTTACTCACAGCATCAATCAAACTGAAAAAAACAGCTGCAGATGGAAGAGTTAGAAGTTGAATAAGAAAGCACAGCTGCAGAGATTTTGAGAACAGAAATTGAAATTATTTGAAGATCTTGTTTGCATATAGTGTGAAAGAGAGGGCTTATTGTGATGTGAACACCTTATGTAATAGTCAGCCAGTGCTGCCACTCCACAGATGGTGCAGGAGAGGTAGGCAGTTTTACCAGTACATCTATTTCCATAGAGCAGCAGTAAGAGCTCTTATCCCTCTCTGCAAGCCCACACTCTGACAGGATGATGAGGCTCTTGACGAGCAGCCGTGAGGCCAGATACCATGATTAAAAATGGATGCTGATGTGTGTGAGAGAGAGTGTCTGCATGATGCTGCCATAACACACATATATAAAAGTCAGGTCAACCTGTTGTCTCTGGATGTAACTATTATTGCAGTGTTATTGATTATGGTGAGCGAGTAGACTATGCTCGGAGACATTCTGCTGTGGCTGGAGGTTTGCATGGTTTATGTGTTCTTTACGAGGCTCCCATCCTGTGCATCAACTTGTCAGCTCAGCAGAAAAAAGACACATGCTGTACTTGATGATGAATGGCATCTTGTTGAGATGGGATGAAATATTGAATACCCGTGGACCTGTATGCAAATGGTGTGTTATTGTTAAAAGTCTGAAAGCCCGAGGTGTATGCAGAAGACAGCTTTAGTTACATGATAAATACAGCTGCCCTGTTTGTGTAAGCAGATTAAAGAGATGCTTTTGGTTTTTAGAGAAGCATAAGGTTCTACTGCTGAGAAAGGCACTGCTCTTTATTGAACCTGGAAAAAGTATTAATATCCTACACACTTTTTCACATTTTGTCATAAAACTGTATAGTATTTCGCTGGGACTTTATGTGACAGACCAACTCCAGGTTCTGTGTAATTGCGAAGTGGAAGGGACAGTAAACATAGCTTTTATGTTGTACATTGTGTAAGGTTTGTTTTTATTCAGTCCTCCTTAACTGTGATACCCCTAAAACAAATTTTAATCAATCAATTGATTAATCTAAATAATCAAAGAAGCAGCCAGAGGCCCTTGGTAACTCTGGAAGAGCTGCAGGGATCTATAGCTCAAGTCTGGGTATCTGTTGATTGGATAACTATTAGTCATGCACCCCATAAATCTGGTTTTTGTGGAAGAGTTGAATGAACTTTCATTGCTAAAAGTCATTGTTGAAAGAAAGCCATAAGAAATCCCATTTGCAATTTGCTACAAATTGTCAGAGAGAATCTTGGAGTAGGTCCCAAATGCAAACAGGAACACACAGTGATCAGAAGGATTTTATTAAAAAATAGAGCAGAATTCCAGGGGAGGCACGAGGTGAACAAGTCATAGAGCATAAACACAAAGCTCAGCATGAAACAGGCATGGCAGGCAAAGCAAGCGAACAGTACAATCTAGCGACAAACAACAACCAACAGAAAGCTTACAAAGGGAGAGGAACAGGTCCAGGCTATGGAGTAAATCAGATGGTGCAGATAAGTAAAAACTCCTTAATTGCATATGACTGTGGCTGAGGGTGAAAGACTAATAGATATGAATGGAGCTGAACAGAAATACAAGAAAACCCAGGAAAAATGTCTAACAGAGATCTAACATGAAATTTTTCTAACACTACAAAAAACACAAGAATGTACTGAGAACTAATATGGCACCAAGTACTAACAAATAATGAGCACCGGGAAAGGAACTGAAGAAGATATGACCTTAAGAACAGAAGGAAAAAGCTCAAAACACAAATCCAAAAGAAAACCCAAACATCTCAAGAATGTGACAAAACTGTGTCATGCAGAAAGACCCCAGGCGGGACTTGAACCCAGGACTTTCTTGTAAGGCAACAATGCTACCAACTGCACCACCGTGCTACCCCCTTTTTACAAAGTAAAATAGATAAGAAATTCTGTCTGTAGTTGACCAAAGCTTGTAGAGACATACCACGGAAGACTGGGAGCTGTAACTGCAGTAAAACCTGACTCAGGGAGGTTGAATACAAATGAATGCCACACTTTTTATTTGTAAAAACCATGTAATAATTTCTTTTCACTTCGCAATTATGGTCTACTTTGTGTTTATCTATCATATAAAATCACAATAAAACACATTGAAATTTGTGGTTGTTACGTGACAAAACTTTTTTAAAAGTCAAAATATGAAAAAGCTCGAGATTTTTTGTCACTCATGTCAGAAAGTGAATTTCATATATTGTATAGATTCATTACACATAGAGTGAAATATTTCAAGCCTTTACTTCTTTTGATTTAGATGATTATGGTGCCTTACAGATAATAAAAACCCCAAATTCCATCTCTCAAAAAATAATAATAATATTGTTAATGATAATAATATTAATAAGATAAAATTTTTAAAATAGATAGTTCAAACAGAAATGTTAGGCTTCTGAAAAGTATGGTAATTTCTATGCACTCAATACTTGGTAGGGCCTCCTTTTGCATGAATTACTGCATCAATGCAGTGTGGCATGGAGACAATCAACATGTGCCACTGCTGAGGTGTAATGGAAGTCCAGATTGCTTTTATAGTGGACTTCAGGTCATCTGCATTGTTGGGTCTGGTGTCTCTCATTTTCCTCTGGCCAATACCCCATAGATTCTCTAGGATTTTTCGGTCAGGTTGAGTTTGCTCACCACTAAAGAAATGGAACATTTGCAGCCCATCTGTAGGATGCTTAGGATGTGTGTAAGGGATCTTGATGCACCAACTCTAGCCTCAGTCCACTTCTTGTGAAGCTCCCCCAAATTCTTGAATGGATTTTCCTTAACAATTCTCTCAAGACTGTGGTTATCCCTGTTGCTGGTGCAACTTTTCCTACCTATTTTTTTTCTTTCCACTCAACTTTCTATAAATATGCATGGGTACAGCAGTCTGTGAACAACTAGGGTCTTCTTTGTGGCTTATCCTCACTGTGGAGGGTGTCAATGACTTTCTTCTGGACATCTGTCAAGTCAGCAGTGTTGCCCGTGATGATGTAGCCTATTGACCCAGACTGGGAGACAATTTAAAGGCTCAGGATATCTCTGCAGAAGTTTTGAGTTAATTGGCGGGTTATGGTGTAATACCACGAGTTTCCAATATGATCACAATATTCTAATTTTCTGAGACACTGAATTTTGGGTTTTAATTATCTGTAAGCCATAGTCATCAAAATTATAAAAATGGCTTGAAATATTTCACTCTTTGTAAGTAATCTATATACTAGTTTCACTTTCTGAAATGAGTGACAAAAAATGTAACTTTTCACAATATCCACATTTATACTAACTGTATATATACTTTGGGAAGGCAATGTATATATAGATGTATTGGTTCTAATTTAGCACTGCAAAGTTCTGCATTCACTGGATAAAACATCTTAAGAACTGAATTATGGACTCTTAACACGCTTCCCACTGTAAATTCTTAAGACGTTCTTAAAATTAGATTGTGCAAAAAAAGTTTCACCCTGTTTCTTAATTGGTTAAAAACCTCTCCTTGTATTACAGCTCTTATTTGTTTCATTTCTCATATTAATTTTAAAATATGATGCATTTGTTTAATTATGATGATTGAAAAAAAGCTGTCAAACAAAAACATTATTCATTGTTGTGTGAACTAAAAACATTAGATAAGCCATAAAATTATACAAGAAGATAATGATCAACTTAATCTTGTGTTAAATGAATTTACCAATAAATACATTCAGTTTTGTCTGTCTAAAGAGGATTTCATTTGTCACATTCTGAATCCTTTAGCCAGCCTAAGACTAAATGGGGCAGAATCCGATCCATTTAGCTCTAACTGGCCTAAAAGCTTTTACACACACCCTGCTGTCACTGATTAACTGCTGTAAAGATTTAGAGGAAAAATAGCTACTCTGTCACTTCATTAGTTTCCTATAAACTAAGGAATACAAGCTGCAAATATAGTAAAGATGTATAATGGAGAACTTCGATTACCAAGCCTGACAGCTACACAGATAAGCCAAATATGTTATTTCCTGCTTGTCATTGTGCCCAGTGTTATCACCCTGCACACCATTGAGCCCAAATTAGAGCAGCAGATGTCCAGAAAAGGTCTGTTTTTCATTACAATGCTTGAATCGAAGAAGAGGTCTCACAAAATGCTTGCTACAATTGAGCTCTGCCTCCTGCTGATTGTACTAGACTATTGTCCCACTGGAGGCTATTTTTGGTCACTCATCCTTATTTTACTGGCCAAACAAAGGCCGTCCTCAGTGAGTAAATTGGTAAAAATAGTGGTGAGGGAGGTGAATCGGAACTTTTATGGCATGTGGAATGTTTTCTAGATGTTCTGCAGCATGGCACTCAGCTGGGAGTCTTTAGAGAAGGCAGAGATGTAATGAGAGGAACAACAGTGGGAGTTAATTTCGAGAGAGGCACAGTTGGCACCAAAGACCAGTCAGAGGTTTAGTTTTTTTTGCCATGGTAAAAGCTAATAGTTCCTTGCAAGTCTTCACACCCGTTCAGCTTTTTGTTACGTTATAACTAAAAACGTTCTTGTGTTTTATCAGGATTTTATGTGATCACCCACCATGAAGCAGGGTATATTTGTAAAAATGAAAGTAAGGAGAATGAAGAGGAAGGTTTTCACGATTGTTTTTCTAATAAATATTAAAAAGACTGTTTGGTATTTATATTCACCCTGCCCTGTTTCAGTACTTTCTAAAAATAATATTATGCAGCAGGTCTTTTGGAGATGTGTGTCAACCAGCGTTGGGCTAAACTTTTCACCCATTCTTAATCTGCATAATAGGTCAAAATTAGTTGATTTGATGGATAACGTGAACATTGATTATAACATCAAAGAAAACTAGGGATGTAAAGGTACACAAAAATTAGGGTTAGGGTTAGGGTTAGGGTTCAGTAAGTACTTTGGCTGTAATGTCACAGTTCGGTATATTTTTGGTCCGCTTCAATTAAGAGAAATAAAGAACCTAAAGAATAGACTAGGGATTTGGTTTCATTTTTTTAAATAATAAAGGATAGGCAGGTATTACCACTGACTGGTCAGATGAGAGGACAGAGAGACACACAGACAGACGGATTGATGGATGGATGGATGGATGGATGGATGGATGGATGGATGGATGGATGGATGGACGGAGGGACGGACGGACGGACGGACGGACGGACAGACGGATGGACGGACGGACGGACAGATGGATGGATGATGACCCAACAATAGACCATTTGAAAATGTACTGCTGTTGTTGAGGAATTGAGGAATGTTTTAATAAGACTGTGTATACATTTCAGAATATCAAAGATTTAAATAACTTTGGAGTTGTTTTGATATTTAGACGATCCATTGTACCAGATGTACTTGAATGCACCATAAAACCACAGCTGTTGAAAAAAGTCCTCTGGTCCGTACCAGTGTGGTGTCGCATCTTGTACTGTGTTGCATTTTGGAAATGGTCGAATACTGCAGGCAGCTGGATTTGGACTCCAGCTGATTTTTCTCCAGTATCAGTGATGTTTATGTTCACCTTGATGTCATTTAAAATAAATGATTCTGTAAAGTGCAGAGCGAGCTCAATACCTAATTAGTATTGAGAGATGCATACGCAGACATAAAGTTTTGGTTCGGTCCATCTTTCTTCCTCCAATGAAGCTGCATGAGAAACCTTAATGTTCCTTAACAACAGAGTTAGTAATAGCTGGGAGTCCTCTCTGTTTTGTTTTGGTGTCACTTTTTAAAGTTGAACTAAGCCCCATGTAAAAGAATGACACTGCCCCAGACACATTTTGAAAAATGCCGCCAAAGTGGGCAGTGCCAAGTGTGGGGATTGCGAAGGGGGTGTGGTCAGGAGGACATGGGAAGTGGCAGCTAGCTTAATTTCACATATTAAAAGGGGTGAAAATTGTTTTAAATTCTTGCCGGTACTTAGAGGCCAGCTCGCGGGGGGGCTGGGGAGGCACTGGGGGTAAGATATATA